TTATATTTATTAAAAGTGTAGGATTTAATATTTTGGAAACTGTTTTTAAATTTTATTTTGGTGTTTAAATTAATAGCTCTATTAGGCGTTAAACATACCTATGTTTAGTTTACATCCGTAGGTCTTATTAAAGCCTCTGTTATGTAAAAACTATAACAATATCAAGAAAAGTATTCAGATCACATTTATTTAAATATTGTCTACAATAATCTGATCTGGTTATTTTTTTTATAAATGCTTTAATTTTCTTATTTGAAGGGCTTAAAAAGTTGTAATTTCATGATTTTTTTTACTGCAAATATCTATTTTTTTCTATTAGAAGTATAAATGTGGCAAAGTCGTACTTAAAACCACATAAAGTATAACTATTTTCAAGTAAATTAGAAATAAATAAAATAAAAAAATATTATATTTTCGTACCTTTTACCTATATACCATTTATAAACTAGAAACGCGTGAAAGTTCGCTCTGTTCCGCTGGGATTTCTCGGTGGTTCAGACGTGTGCTGTGTTGTTCAACGTTATTTTACCTCTCGCTCGCACGGTTGATCTCTTTCACTCGCGCAGCTCTTATGGACTGACTGGAGCATATCGTGAAATTTGCTCTACATAAATATATATTATTTTTATTTAATTGTACATATTAGTTCTAGTTTTTAGTGTGTAAGTGTATTAGTGTTTATATTAGTATTAGTGTGTTAGATTAATAATTGACTTTGACTTCTATTTGATGAATTTCAATTTACAACCAAAAGAAATAAACGGAAAAAGATGGATGGAAAAAAGAGGAAATATCCTTGTGTCAGTATAAAGAAATGTAAAGCAAGAGTTGAAGTGATGAAAAGAAACAGACTAAGCAGGTATGTTGAATACTACCTAGGTATAGGTGAATAATATTGATATAACTATAGTTAACAAGTGTAATTTGAGATATTATTTATTGCATTATCTATACACATGTACAACGTGCTGCTACAAAGGCGACGTTTTTATACGTGGCAGAGCCATGCTGCAGTTATATTAGATGTATATTTGTAGCACGAATGGGTCGCCTCGACCGGGGAAGGACCACGCTCTCACAGAATACCAGCGTGAAATAGTAGCTTAACGCTGCTGTATTTCTTATGGTGAGTGTGGAGAACCGGAGACCTATTTACTGGAAACGAGGCATTCCATCTTAGTCCTCACGGGTGACAACGCATCTGCATTTTGATTCGTAATCGAGGATAGATGTAGATGTCTATGGGCCACAGCAACCACTTACCATCAGGTGGACTGTGTGCTCGTTTGTCACCCTATTCTATAAAAAAAACACAAATACGTTTTCACATTTTCGTTTCATGAAGCAATTATATTTCAATTAAACGTTATTATTTACGGATTTATTTAAATTTTAGAAACTAGCATCTTACTTATATAATAATACAATCTATACTTAGCTACTTAGAGAACTCTCGGCGAGCGGGCAGCGCAGGTAGCGCAGGCGACGCGTGCCCTCTTAATATTTTTGTGAACGTTTCCGCGAAAAAGACGCTTACCTATTGTTTTATTTACTGTAATTAGGATAGTGATTAGTAGGGTTATGGTACTGCGATAAAGACACTTTGTTTTCTAATCTAGTAAGTACGTTTACATTTCTTTAGATACGGACGCTTTTATTTGCTCATTACTATCGATATTGATGACGAATAATTGTTTGGAAATATTCTTATCTGTCTTTATGTCTGTACGTGTGTGTTTAATTTATCCCGGAAAATGCAAGGTCCGTCTCTACTATAATAGAATTCATTAAAATAATATTATTTTTATTTTGAATTGTCAGTAATTTATTTACGCGACCTTTATTCTTTTCAGTAATGTCGGTGCCACTGCGTCTACCGATCGTCAACCGATGTCAAATATTAGCAACTCCAGTAAATGATATTATGCCATAGTAACATTTTCTGTTGTTATACATATACGCTAATGATATATTAACTTTAATACTTACATATACAATACATATAATAAAAATATTTTAATACAAACTAATGGTTCTAAGGAAACAAAAGGACAAGATTAGCAAATAAACCCCAAAATAAAAACTCGGTACATATTAAGTTATTTTTGACTAGCAATTAGCCAATTGTCGTGCATAAAACACATGTTGTACATGTTTAATATCTACAATATCGCATTTGTTTTAAAATTGTTATTCATTTTTATTTATCTACACAAATAAATACTTGCAGTTTTGCTATTTAAAAAAGCTAATAATAATATTTATTTTAGGTTAATAAAAAAGGGGCGAAAACGAAAAACCACCAGTGGACTGCCTTTTAGAAAATTTAAAACTAAGGTAATAAAAATATGATAAATATGGGCTCATAAAATTTGACTCGTAGAAATGTAAAACAAAGCTATTATTTTTTTTATTTTAGCGCCAGCCGTCCGCACGTGAAAAGGGTGATTGCTTCGACTTCAATGTAGAACGTGAAGAAATGTGTAGTAAAAAAGAGGATTTTGATTTAGAGGGACGTAGAATTGTCTCTATACGATACTTCTTACTTTCTCCGCAAGCAGTTGCTGATCACAGTCATGAATCATTTGGATGCAGATTTTCAAATTTGAAATGCATCGGTGAGACGAGAAAAGGCTTTATTTCAACGTTGTGCTTAAAATGTCAATTATGTAACGCAGAATTTAATATAAGCAATGCTAATTACAATGTTAATCATGGTATTGTCGCGGACACGATCAGTATTGGTTGTGGTCTCGAAAATTTGAACGAACTAGCGGCAAACACTGATATACCCGCTATGTCAAAACAATTGTACAATAACACAAGCCAAGTTGTTTATGACTGGTTTCATAAAACAGCGGATCAAGAAATGCGAAATCTTATTTTTAATCTTGTAACCAACTAAATAAATAAATATTTGTGTATTCAGTTATTCCTTTGTTTGAATTTTTTATCGATTGCCTTCTAAATTACTTCTCTATATGATTTTTCTTATAAAAAAACTGGTATAAGCGCTATTTGTATGTTCAGTTTGTATAAAAAATCATATACATCCGATTAGACGGGAGGAGTTGGAATGATGGAGCTGAACCACATTTCATACAAAAAAAAATTAAAATAAAAAATTGACTGATTCATAATACAAAATATACAAGGTAGAATCGTAATTTGTATGAATGAAAACAAGAAGCAGTATTTTTTTTCCTTCGGTTGTATATACCCTTTTTAAACCTACAACCCGTATAAATATTACTAAAAACGACATTTATGAAATATAAAAGGGTAAAAAATTATACTACCACAACAAAACTAAAAGGAATATTTTTGAAAAAAAAAATAATAAGTTATATATTTAATGAAATAGAGCAACTTCACGTACGATAAATCTGAATAAACGCTCGCAATTAATTCGGAATGACTCTGTACTAAATTACAAAAATCTCTCGTCAATTTAACGCAGCCCTCAGCATCCGTTTCCAACCGCCCATCGCCAATTTTTAATAGTGTGTCAGCATAGTTTCCAGCATTGTTCCATAAAAAAGACGACTTGAGGCATGCTTATTTTCATCTGCAGGTGTGCCCTTTTGAATGACAGGTAAAGTTTGGTGAAAGTCACCAGCCAGTAAAACCACCATTCCTACCATTACATCGGTATTGCTTCGCAAATCCTAGAGCGTTCGATTTAGTGCTTCTACAGCTTTTTTATGCGACATTGTACTTTCGTCCCACACTAAAAGTTTGCATTGTCGTAGCATTATACCTCGTGCACTATTTTTGCTAAAGTTGCAGATCGGCGATTCTTCCTGGGCTAGATTTAGAGGGAGTTTTAAAACAGAATGTGCAGTGCGGCCCCCGCTTAGCAGCATGGCGGCTATACCGGAGGAAGCTGCCGCCACAGCAATGTCTTCCCAGTTCCTCTAGGGGCATCTAAAAAAATGCACCATTTCCAGATTCAATTTGTCCTAATACTTTGTCAAAAACTCGTTTTTGTTCGGGAAGCAAGCGGGGTACAAATTCGGCTACTTGCTGCTGCAAAGTTGTTATATCGTAGTTTGTTTCGCGTATAATTTCATCACTGAGTTCAAGAAGAAAAAACTTTGCTTTTTCTTCTTACACCATTCGGTTGCAAGCAATATGATTATTTTATTAAGCTCTGTACGGATAGCACTATCACTATATTTGTGTACATCCAAGAGAATTATTTGAAAAGCAGTTTATACATAGTTTACATATAAAATGTTTAAATTTATAAGTTACGCAAAATTATAAGTGTGTCCCACGTAAAATAAAGCTGTAATTATTTACGTTAAATGGACATGGTTGCTATTATCTGATTACATTTATGAGAACTACGATTGTAATCATCTCAATGATGATATCAGAATCTATAAAACAATTATATAGTGATTACCACAGCAAAACGACTATTCGCTTGTTGCACATATACGAGTACCACAAGCCTACAAACACGTTATTAAAATAAAGTGTATTTTTTAAAATGTACGGCTCTAGAGCAGTATTAAAAATTTGTCATGCAATTTTGCTATTTTCTGAAGCAAAATCTACAGATTCAAAGTCAAGCCAAGATTTTGACAATTATGTAAGAATTATTACAAAAATTTTGTTAGTTAAATAGTGTTAAATTTTTTATTTTATTTAAAATGTAATATTATATTTTGGTCTTTCAAACAACATTTTAGATTGTAAGTAGAAACCATGCCAAAGTTTTTTTGAATATATTTTTTATATTAAAAATTGGGCGATAAATATCATGTAACAGTTCATCGTTATCGTTACAGCCCATCACAATTCCCCTGCTGAACAAAGGCCTCCTCCAAAGAATACCACAAGTCACGGACCTGAGCCATCTGCATTCATCGACTTCTTGTATCTTTTACCAGGTCACGTTTTTACAGGGCCCTTATGATTTAGTGTTCAGCAGATACGAAAATTGTATTAATCCAAAAGTAACGAACATTACATCTTGCTCTATAAAACTTATGAACGAAGTCAACAATTACGTTGCTTATGTGGATTGCACGTTTTTCGCATTAGCCCGAATTGATGAGGTAAGTGTGGAAATCAAATGTAATCATTAAATAGGATAATGTCAGTATAACTCAGTTTTATTCTTGTCATTAGATTGAACTAAGGAAATATATCAGGTATATATTGTGTATTCTTCAAAGAGAAAGTAAAAATAAGTAAGTGTATACAGGAAGTCTTCCCACAAGTGTTTAAAACAGTTATGTGTATGATATGACAATATATCTTCTGACAGTTGACAGTTTCGACCGAAGCGGAAGTTTAGAAAAAATCAGAACCTCTCAAATGTGTAGATAAAATTTATAACGAATTTGGCAGGTACGAACGCATACGCGCACTTGTAAAATTTTTATAATATAACCAAGCACGTCTTTCACAGCCTGCCTATTTTTCTCGCCGTAGTAGTAACAATTACATGATATGGTTAATTTTGTTGTTACAGATAAAAGTAAAAGTTTACAATGTGAAGGATAACCGTACTAGATTGTTATGGAGCTACAAACTGAATAATCCGTGTCAACATTACGCTGTAGCCGATCTTATTAAAAAAAAATTAAACGCTGATAATTGTGTTGTAAAACAGGTATGCACTTATTTATCATTATTTAAGCAAGTGAGTATTTTTACAGTATCTAAAAAAGGAGGTTTAATTTAGCAATTACTAATTTTTTTTCTTAATTACCGACTTTATTTTTAATTTCCATCATATACATGGTGGTCGTACGCAAGCTGTGTTTCGTGTACTATATTAGGTGGCTCATTAGTATATGCTGTCCTACCATACTCAAAAAAAAAAAACAGAAGATATCTTCCCTCGCACTATTTGACAAATATATATACAAGTCACCAAATTCTAAGGACAGACAACTACCGAAATTATAGGATAGCCTTCTCGCAAATTTTCATATCTACAGTCGACTAACTAACGACGCACTGTTATAATGTGATGTTATCAACACGGCATTTGTATTCATTTGTAAAACAGTATAATTATTTAATCAAAGCAACTTACCTGTAAGTATCCGTCGATCAAAATTATATGAAGTTGACGCCTCCTCTGTGTTTGTATACTATGTAGTCACGAATTGACGGACCGAATCACAAGAGTTTTAACCTTCCGGGGAAAAATAATATTTTTAACGGTATCCCAACCTATATGAACTGCCACTGGCATCACTATACACCTCATATCATTTTGAATTTATATCCACTAGAATTAGGTAAAAATAATTAAAATGCAAGTAAGCCCTAAGGGTAGGTAATAATATAACAACAGGGTAGGGTTGTACATAGAGGAGACGTCAACTTCATATAATTTTGATCGAAGGACACAAACAGGTTAAGTTGAGTAACAGTAACAGTTAAGTTACTTTGATCAAATAATTATATTCGTTGATACCTCCTCTGTGTTTGTATATAATATGTATACGTTTAAAGATTTGATTAAAAGTAAAATTAAAGTTACAGCCTATATACGTCCCACTGCTGGGCACAGGCCTCCCTTCATTTCTGAGAGGGTTTTAGGGTAAGGAAGTGTACGCCGCGCAGCCCCAATGCGTGTGGTGAACTTCACGTGTCTTCGAAATATTTTTTTTGTCTTATTCCTCAGACATGCAGGCTTCCTCACGATATTTTCCTTCACCGCCGAGCACTTGGTAAATCAGCACTTAAAATTGAAATTAACAATTTTATTGGTGCCGGATGGGATCAAACCCGGGTTACTCGCGTTATGTTATATTTACAACGAGCGTTAACCATCTGAGCTACCACGGCTCAATCAATGATTTGATTGCCTTATTTTAATTATTTACTGTTATAAATTATCATAATTACAATTTACAACAAAACTAACAGTATTGAATAAACTACATAATATATGGATTTTATTGCGTTTTAATTTTCTTATTTTTAATTCCCAACGTTTCGGTTGCTTCAAATCACCCATGATCACGGGGGGACTGAGATGTTTGATGTCTCAATATCATAGTTAACCCGGCTACCTTCACTTTTTGAATATTCATTTTTGGTCCGATCTACGCAGAACGAGCTTACAATATCTTGAAGTCTTGCAGCGGTATGCTTGGGTTTGAGTTTAATTTTGTTAATTATAGGATCCCAAGCAGATGGCAGCACCTATCCATCTTCTCCGTTGAAATTGGGATGTTTTTGAATTCAATACCCTCGCGTATCATCCTTGGTAGGCTTGGTAGGTGTCTTTTTGGGAGGATTTGTGGTTTATCAAATCTAATGTAATGGAGGAGACGATCTTGAACATATTCACAGACTGCAGACGTTGAGAACATCGGTGCTCCACGGCAGCTATATGTTCGTTCATGCTTCTTTTTATAGATCTTTTTGTTTGACCTATGTAAGAGAGACCACATTCACAATCTAGCTTGTACACTCCTGCATCTTGTTGAGGAATATAACACTTGATGGATGATAAAAATTGACTAATCTTCTTCGGTGGCTTGTAGTATGTTTTAATAGAAGCTCGCTTCAAGATGTAGCCAACCTTGTCTGTGACTCCTCTGTCATACGATAGTACAGCAGGCACACACTCGACTGTGGCCGGCTTTACTTGGTCACTGTAATGTAGGCGCGGGAACCTAAGATTGTTTTCTTGCAATAATTGCTTGGCGGCCAAATATGTGCAGGGATAATAAGCAAAAGGCAGATTAGAATTCTGGAGTTGACTTTATCCAAAACTAAAAGTCAAAATGAAAGTATAAATTAGGCAACGTATGTTTTATCTGATATGTACGACGATTTACAAAATGAGTATGGAACCTTTTTGATGGGAACGTAAAGAAAACAGTTCTTACATTAAGCAACTTGAAAATAAGGTGGATAGCTTGGAGAGACAGTCCCGTTCTACAAAATTAGAGGTAAGAACGTACCAAAAATTCTAAATAAACTAAACAGTTACTTTCCGATGCTGTGAAAAAAATCGGTAATATTTTAAATTTACAACTTCAAACTACCGATATAAAAGATCTCTACAAATCTTTCGCTTAAAGAGACACTATCAAGCCGGTTATTGTTGAGCTGAATTCAGTACTTACTAAAGAAAGTATGTTGTACAACCTTAAAAAACTAACTTTGGAAGAATAAAAGAAATAAATTGAGTACAGGTCTATTTGACACGAATAGCCAAAAAACACTTATTCATTTCAGAAAGTCTCACTGCAAAGGAAAGACGACTATTTTTCTGGCTAGAGAATTGGTTAACTCATTAATTATGCATACTGCTGGGCATCATATTTAAAAATCTACCTATGAAAGAAAGAAGGAATGCCCCCACATTCGCGTACAGGAAGATTCTGATGTTGCCAAACTAAATACTGACTAGTTTTAAAAAACGACGAGTTGCACTCCGGGAGTGCCGACAGCAGTGAAAACTTAAATATTAACGTTGTGCATTTTTGATATTTTGGAATGGTTAGTGAATAATTTTGCATGAATTGCTTTAATTGTCAGTATAAAAGTACTATCATTTATGTGGTAGAATACAATATTTATTTATTGTGCTGTCGTACACAAACATGACAATTTATAATGATTTCTTATATTTACACGAACACTACACATTGAAATAATACTAGTTTTTACGGAATTTATCGCGTATATTTAGCTTTTTAAATACCCGACGTTTCGAACGCTTTACAGCACTCATGGTCACGGGCGGGACTGAGATGTTCAACGTCCATATGTCATAGTTAACCACGGTTACCATAGAATAAAATTTAACTTTGGTTCCGATCTATACAGTATAAACTTATGGTATCTTGAAGTCTTTCAGTTGTATGCTTGGGTTGGGATTTAATTTTATTTATTATAGGATCATAAGCAGATGGTAGCACCCAGCCATCTTCTCTATTGAAATTAAGATGTTTTTTGATTTCAATAGCCTCGCGAATCATGCTTGGAAGGAATCGGTGTTCTTTAGCGAGAATTTGCGATGTCTTCGTACGGTAATTTGCGGGGTGTAATTGCAAAGTTGAGGCCTTTGGAAAAATATGAAGAAATTATCTGTAGTGTCGAGGACTGTTTATTTAAAAACAATATGCGGAAAGATGATTTGGAGGCGATACGTCAAGACATTTCGTCTATGTTACGTCGATGTTCAGTGCCTAAACCGAATCTCCCAAAGATGAATCCCAAAGACGAATTTATAGCGTTAAAGAACCTACGCAATAAACCAGAACTTACGATTCTCCGCGCAGATACGGGAAACGCCACGGTAGTCATGGATACGTCGGATTATAATTCTAAAATACAAGAACTTTTGTCGGATGTAAGTACTTATAAAAAGGTTAAAAACAACTAGTGACCTCATAAAGAAACACTCCGAATAATTAAATCTGGACGTAAAATGGATAATACCTACGTGCGCCAAATCACCAAAATTGTATGGGTTACCAAAAGTACACAAGCCCAATGCTCCATTACGTCCTTTAGTGAGCCAAATCGATTCACCAACTTACAGATTGGCTCAACACCTAGCGAAAATACTCTCACCGCTCAGGGGACATACAAGAGCACACATAAAGCATTCCTACCATTTTGTCAGCGAGATTAAAGACCTACATCTGGCAGACAATGAAACTATGGTCAGTTTTGATGTGCAGTCATTATTTACATGCTTACCTGTTGAAGACTTTATCTCAATTGTAACTAGAAGGCTGGAAGAAAACAACATGCCCGTAGAATATGCAGTATTACTCAGACACTGCCTTACATCTGGCTACCTATTGTGGAAGGAGGAGTTCTACAAGCAAGTAGATGGTGTGGCGATGGGCTCACCTGTATCTCCCATTGTCGCCGACATATTCATGGAAGACTTTGAGGAGAAAGCCCTGCTTAGTTCTCCCATAAATCCAAGATTCTACAAGCGATACGTTGACGACACTTTCACAAATCTACCTTTAGATAAAGTAACTGCATTTTTAGACCATCTTAACTCTATAAATTCTAAAATTCAATTCAAAATGGAGTTAGAGGCAAACAATTCCTTAGTTTTTCTAGATGTGTTAGTAATTCGGAATCCTGATAACACCTTGAGCCCTACAGTGTATAGAAAAAAGACCCATACAGATAGATATTTAAACGGTGATTCTCACCACCATCCTTCACAGTTAGCTACCGTGGGTAAATCTTTGTTTCAGAGAGCACGAGGGATCTGTGACAGTAAACACCTGGCTGCCGAGCTCCACCATGTCAAGCAAGTTTTGCATGACAACAAGCTTCGAGTCCCGCGCCTACGTCACAGTGAACGAGTGAAGTGAAGATGTTAGAGGAGTCACTGACAAGATTGGCTACATCTTGAAGCGCGCTTCCATCAAAACTTACTTCAAGCCCCTGAAGAAGATTGGTCAGTTTTTACCATCAGTCAAGTGTAATGTCCCTCTGCAAGATGCAGGAGTGTACAAGCTTGATTGTGAATGTGGTCTCTCCTACATAGGACAAACTACAAGATCAATAAAAACCCGCGTTAAAGAACATATAGCTAATGATGACGCTCTGGGAAGTCTGCAGTCTGTGAACACGTGCAGGATCGCCCCCTTCACTACATCAGATTTG